GTTACCCTTACTTCTGATGATTAACTGCTGTGAAGAAGAAAAGCCATTGCTTTTTCAAAAGAATCGTCTGTGCACATGTATTGGCCTTTCATTCCACCCACCTCCCCCACAAGGGACTTAAATAATAGAGTTCTAGGCTAAGTTAAGGATTGTGTTTGAGTAGAAGGGTGAAATGTCTCCATTTCTATCTAGAAGAATATAGTAACAGAGTAACCTGTAGGTGACTTCTGGTTTTGTGGAGTTTTCTCCGCTACTGTGGAAAGTCTTGTCATCTTACTCGCATCTTCCTAAGTGTGAGACTTTGATTTAGGCCATGTAACACAATTCCGATTTAGGCAGGGAATAGTTTTATTGGCAGACTGTTAATTGCTGCTTCTTGTATTCAGAAATATTAAATGCAAGTGTACACCAATAACTTGGACAGCTGTAGTTTTAAGTCCTTAAGAGGTTTTTTCTTGAGACTGTATCTAGCAGTAAGGATTTTCCACATTGTAAGGAAGAAGGGAAAATAAAACTAGGTGATAAAGTGCTTTTGCATCAAGATAAATTTGTAATATCCATACTGAAGGTTATTTCTGTTAGTTATGCACACTTTGCATTATCTAATATAAGGGTAGTAATAATGTAATGAGAGGATAGACTTTTGAGGTAACTCTTCAATTAATAAAATTTTTAATAGTTTGTTCCTTATTATAGTTTTAAAATTTTAAATATTTGTGTTTTCTTTGAATAGCAATAAGTACTAAAAATCTGAAAGCTGAGAAGTTCAGGTATAGACTGAGAAGGTCATTAAAGCCCCTTAAGGAGTATTTTATATATATATATATATCTGTTCTTAGGGATTTGCTCAATGGAGGAATATTTCCAGTCTCTGCTTGAAATACGTTGGGCATTTGGAAACAGTTTTAGATTTCTTTAAGGTGCTGGCATTCTGTTGAGGATATCAAGTCAATGAAAGTCATCTGAGATCTTGGGAATGTTTTGTCCTGCTGTACTGGTAAGTGCTTGTTCAGAGGTCTGATTGGAATTTGGAGAGCCTTTTACCTGAAAATTCTCTTCTTTTTTTTTTTTTTTTTTCCCATAAGAATGTCTGAAGTGCAAATAACACTCCTTCAAAACTTGTGTTAAGTTTTGCTTGTGTTGTATCTTAGTTGAAGGTGGTCAGTGATTTGAATGCAGTTCTGTCACAGTGTTTTAAAGCCTATTGTAATATAGCACTGCACAACCAAATGATGGTACTGCACGCATTTCTGCTGAAACTTATTTTCAAAAAAGATGCTGTTTGGCTCGATTGTTAAATGGAGCATAGCAGGAAAAATTGAGATGACAGGAATGAACTAATGGAATGTGCTCTTGAGTTGTTTTGGGGTTTTTTTTTGGTGAAATACGGGAGTTGCAATGCATGTTGTGTTTTACCTTGTCGTACAAATCAGACATCCACAGTAGATGTGTCTAAAATTGTTTTGAATAGGCTTTTGTTTAGTATTCTACCTGTTACCTTAGGCCTTCAGAATTTATCTGTATTGGTTTTGAGCCTATTACTAGCAAACCCCTGAAGATTTCAGGTAGTAAATAAATGCAGGAGAAACCCTTTGTGAGGAAAAGATAATGATCTGAATCTGACTTGCGGAGAATGCTTTCCCACTTAATTGCTAGAATAGAAGAGAATTACATCATTATTTAGGAAAGTCAGGATAGCTTTTAAAATCATATTTATCAAACTCACCATAAATTAGAGTGATATTACACTTTTTAATCTTGTTACATTAATATCCATTAAATGTGGATTAAGTAAACTGATCAGGTTTATGAAAGATACCATGGAAGTAGCTAGGGAGCAAAGTTAAGCTTGGTCATTCATTAGTATTTTAAAGGCTGCTCTGTTGCACCTTGGTGTCATAAAATAGCATCTCAGTTCATGATCATATAATTTGAGGGTGACCAAGAGACAGTTTAAGTGACTGCTGTCATGCTAGATTTGTGCTGGAAATAGTTGTAGCTATTAGTGCAGTACTGCCATTTATATAGCTGCTCTTGAAAGAAAAGAGGCTCTTGCTTATGCAGTGGGACTGTTGTCGCATAGCAACTACTGTGCTGAAAGCTTAAAATCAGATGCTCCCTTGAAGCTCACTGTGCCCTAATAATGCTTAATTTATCTGGGCCTTGCACTACCTTTATCGCAGTAGTGAATGTCTTTTATTACTGTGCTCAGTAATGTCTGTCATGTACACTTTTCTTTTTTTCTCCAAGCTTAGAACTGTGTGATGGTGTGCATTTTTTTAGCCCAATTTCCTGAAGGTTGAGACCATAATAATGTGATTAATCACAATGAATGAAATTTGAGAGAGTCAGAGTTCAAGTGTGATGGCCTTTTATAATCTGATAGTAGAAGACAGGCAAGCCTGCCTTCCCTCATATGGACAGGCAGTCGTGCCTGGTCCTCTATTGTTCGGAGTGGTGCTGTTGGTTGGCAAGTGAACCCGGATGGACCATTTGGCTAGCTGACATGCTTGTTGCTCCTAATTAATGGTAGTGAAGGATGTCACAGGTGGATGACATGTTGTGGGTGTTTGAGAGTGTTGTGAGTAGACTGGGAAATTGAATAGAGAAGGAAACTGGTTGTAGTGAGAAACAAACTTGTGTTTGCTTAGGTGTTGGATTTGGTAGTTGGTGAACTACCTCATGAAGAAAGTAGACTTGAAAGAAACTTAGGAGGGTATAGAGAATCCTGACATATATAAGTTGCTTTGAAATACGCTTTGTATGAAAATATTTTTTTTTTCAACCCCTGGAAACATTCTAATACATACTGAAGTGTACATTCTCGTGTCTATACTTGATCCGAAGAATGCCAGCATAATTTATCATCATTGTTTTTTCAGTGAGCATGTTCACATACTTGCCTGTGTACAGGGTTTGACTTCAGGTGTGCTGTGCTCAAACTTAGACATTAGTGTAAAACTTGCTTATGAAATGGCAGTCTTCAGATGTGCTGAAGAATCTGCTTCAAAAGCTGTTAAATGAAATACCTACCTCAGCCAGAACTTTGGATTGTTTATGATACCATACTGTTAAGAACTGAGTAAATAACAGCATAGAACTAGTATTTAATACTGTGAGGCTTTGAAAAAAAGACCTTATTTTCTGTGTTGATAATTTAGGACCATCTAGATTCCATTTTGAGATGAACATTTACTAGCACAGAGTTCTTTGTAAGAAGTTAATGTTGTGTTAACCTCGCAGTAGCGTGTATAGTAACACAGACATGCTGCATCTCCTGCTTACTTTAATATAGTAGTGATATAATCCAGGCCTCATCCTCATGCTTAAGTAGTTTGGATATACCAGACCAAAGTATTCTAGACTGTATTAACTGATAGGAAGCCTTATATTGTTGGCATTTTATATGCAGTATTTTTTTTATCTCTTTTGCAGCTCCTTTCCTAAAGAACAGATTCTGACTTTTGGATAGATAGTAAGTTGTTGTAGGTTGTTACCGCCTAGGGTTACATTAAATATAGGGTAGGTTTTTAAACTGAGAAGATATGCTAAGTATATTTAAGTTCTCTACTTTTAGGATATGTTAAGATTCTTAACTTCTGCATTCAGTATGAAATTGATATTTATTGGATTTTATCTAGGTTTAGATTAAAATTAAATATATAATGTATTTTAACAGGGTTTTTTATTAAAGAAAACTGGTTTTTATAATGACTATATAAAATGGTCCTCTGTTTAATTGAATGGATTTCTTTCTGGTTGCTTTTTCATTCAGGCTCTTATAATAAATAGCTGTTGTTTCTTCATACTTTCACAATTTACAAACAAAAGGGGGTATTTAACATTTACCTTTTCAATTCCAAGTCATTTTACAAAGCTCCAGTGAATTAAACATTGTATGGAAAGTTTTGAAAAGTGCAGAAGAGGTTATACTGCAGCAGATTTTTCAGCACTTTGTCAAACACCAGTTCCAATACTTACTCAGTGACTTCCATCCTGAATATGTATTTATGCAAGTTATTAAAATAACTTCACTTATAATAAATTTTAGTCCAATTACAGGTTGCCATCATTTTATACTTAATTTTACATTCTTTTTTTTAAAGTGCAAATTAAAAGATATCACTTATTAATGACTATGTGAGAGACTTCAAAGTTTATCCAAATAGAGATGGATTCTTTAATTCTTAGTAAGTAGCTCTTGTATGAGTCATTCTATAAGTGCTGCAGAAACTTGCCCATGATAATTGGTGTTTTTCTTGTATTAAAGCATCTTTTTATAACTTTGTGTGTGAAATTTGCCTTGTGCTTTTGGAAGTTTAGATGATTTCCATCTTCTTAATGAACTGTTAATGGCTAGCTGCCTTTTCAAAGGTGATCTTTGCTTTCCTATTTTTTTAAAACTTCAATACTTTCTCCAATAAATTACTGTTAATTCACACAGTTTCTTTTCTTGGGAATTATAAAAGGTCTGTAAGGTTAGGAAGTAACATAATGAACAACAACAACGTTTTTTTTCTGTATTCATTCCAGGACACGGTTGTGTTATTGAGAAGAGTGTGATCTGCATAAAGCACTTAGATTTTTAGGCTTGATAAATGTGTAATTTTCTTTACAGAAGGAATTAAAAAAAAAAGTTGTCTTTTTCATATAAAATAGGCAAATATATGTGCATTTTATCTAACATGAACAGTAAATGCAGCTTATGGTTGTTCTCATTATGTCTCATTTTGAGTTAAATAAACCAAAAAAATGGCTTAAGACCATAGGAGCTTGAATCCTCCTAGCTGGATTTGCTGTCATAACTTGTAACTTCTGGGATGTCAAAAGTGGGATCCTAAGTTGGAGTGTGCATGATAACGTTAATGTAAATACATGTTGTGGTCATGTTTAGTGTAGTTGTGATAGTCTACAGGCAATGGTGAGAAGTTTGTAGGTGTAGAGATAACATCTTCTGCTAGACCAGCTAATATAATTACAATAGATGTTCATTTGGATGCATGACCCCTTGTCAGATCTTGGAAAGAAGCAGTAAGGTTGAAAGCAGTAAAGCAACTGTTGAAGAATTGCTTGAAGATTTGGTTGAGGCTGTTCAAAAAGACCATCTAGAAGAAGATACGGTATTTGGAACAGGGGAGGATGCTAATGAGAAGTGAGGATGCTAATGAGAAGTGATAATGCTAATCTCCTGTGGGGAACAGGAAGACACTGTGAAATTTGTTAGCTATGTGGGCATTAAAAAGGAGACATTATAGTGTACCATAAACCCAAAATAAAAGTTTGATAGATTCTGTGAGTGTTATATACTTGATAGCTTTATACCTCCCTCTTAAGGATCTGGTCTGCAGTTAGCCTCTGAATAGCATTGTTTTAAGACATGCTAGTAATGAGTTCTGTGAATAATAAAACATGCTGCTGGTGCCCGAGTTCATTGTGCAGTGATCTACTTTTGCTTGGCTAACTCTCCCAGATGCATCTGGTACACTGGATGAAACATTTTAGGGGGTTCAGGAGTGTTAATCTACTGAGAGGGATATATATTGTACTTGTGGTGATGCGTTCCTGGGTGTTTATTAGTCAGGGAAAACTTGGATCTGTTCAGTAGATAGTCTGTGGTGAGTTCTGTTTTCAGTGAAGTTGGTGGTGAAGGTGATGAAGTTGTTTGGAAATTAGGTGGAATGGTTTTAGGAAAATGTCTTTAATATTTTTAATTAGTAATACCTTGTAATGCTTGCTTTTTTGGTAGTAAAGCTACCTTTTATTATTTGGTTTCAGTTAGAAGTTCAAAGGGATCTCTTAAATTTTATCTAAAGCTATATTACCTGTGTGTGTGTGTGTGTGTGTTAGAGTAATTTGGCTAATGACTTCACAAAACACTTGTATCTGTGGTTTAGGTAATTTTCAGTCTAGTAAGGTTACTGAAAATCTGAAAGAAGTAAACATAAATTAGCTGTTACCTTCCCCTTTTTTCTTTTGATGCTTACAAATGGGAAAATACATGGTTGTTATGTAGAGGACTTGATTTGAATGAATATAATTTGTTCTATTGAGAGCCCTCTTCAGAGATTTCTTTTCAGAATTTTGGCTAAAAGGTGGTGAATAGCCTTATATCGTGGTTGATCTGCATTTAAACAGTAGGTAATATCTACAAATGCAGTATTCATATTCTCTTAAGAGGTTAGAATGCCAGAGCTGTTGTGGAAACCAGGGACAGTATCACTTGTTTGAAAACCTTCCTTTTTTGGTTAACTTTTATTGTCGTTTAGATAATATTCCTAATTCTACAGAAAATGTGATCTTCTGAAAATATGGTAGCCCTCTTTAAAGCAGTATTTTGATTATGTCAATTTGCAATTTACATGTAATTAAAATAAGTAATTATTCTGTAAGTGTTCTGTGGAACATGATGAAAAGCTGTAGGTTTTTCTGGAAACCTCTTAATTACTTGTAGTTTTTTTGAAGGTTTAAGGGATAGGTGGAGAAGTTTGTATGTCCCTTAATGAGTGATCAGCTTCTGATTTTCTTTATTGTTGAGGCTTCATTTATACTATATTATGTTGTCAGATGTTCCCATTGATACTTGGATGTTCCCATAAAATCCTGTTAGTCCGAGTCACCTGACATTGTTAAACTTCAACACTGATGTCATATCTAAATATATTTCAGTTGGATATGGTCTAACTAACTTCCAGCCCTTGTTGCAGTACTCATTTAAAATGAAACAACAAAAACAGACCCTGAAGATGTGTGCTGTGGTCTCCTAGGGAACTATGTATCTTTGTTCTCAATTTGAGATGAAAACAGGGATGAAAATAAGTCTTTGCCAGGGGAATTAAACCTAACATTTTTATAAAATGCCATTTGAGGCTTTTGATCCTTTGTGAGTAATAATAACCTGACTTAATCATAGAAAATGTGTTGTAGAATGTTTATATATAACATCCTGGAAAATTATTTGGAAGTGTATTTGCAAAATGGTTAGGGATCATGTCTAAAATTCTTAAAATGGAGACAAATTGCCTAATGAATCACAAGAAACAGAAATTGAGGTGGAGCTGGTTAGATCCATTGCACTTGTGAAAGCAACTTGTGTATTTGGCAGACTGTCATGAATACATTTATTGAAAGAAACAGTACTGTCTTATAGTAGTATATTTTCAATTTGTACACAAATTAATTGAGGATTTCTTCTACCTGCCTTCTCTCAGGACAGGTGTGTTAGCACACGAGAAACGTCTTCAAAAAGATTAGATTTCTAATATCCTGTTTACATATCTGTATAAATTTGTTGACTTAAACAGAATGCTGAGGCTTGGCACTATCACTGTTCATCATCTACTTCAGTAAATCATGCTGACTGTGGCCTCTTAGCTTGTATCAGATAAGTCTAGAATGATGCAGGTAGGTGGTAGAACATGGGTATTTTGCCAGTATGTACTTTTGTCCAGTTTCCTCTTCTTTTTTATCATATCCACAGAGTTGAATGTTCAAAGTCTTTTAAATTTATGCAGATGGATAATAGATGTTGAAGGAACTTCTTAAAATGCTAAATACATTTATATAATAATGCATACATGTTTGTTTTTAGGAGAAGTAGCTACAGCTGAAGTTTCTTCATCTTTTGTGATTCTATCTGTATGTACTCTAGTAGTACTGGTAATACTGCTTGCCAACTGTGTCTCCTGCTGTAAAGACCCTGAGATAGATTTCAAGGTAAGCATCTGAAGTTACAAATGTATATACAAGTGGTATTCTTAGCTGCATTCTGATATCCAGAATACTTGATTATTTATGCTAATACTCTGCAGTTACTGACACTTCAGTGTCACTGTACGTTCTCTCTTTTGAAATAGCCAGCAACTGTATTTCTACATGCTGTGAAGTCTTGCTGCAACCATTTATTTTAAGTACTTGGTCCATGCTGCAGTAAGGATCTTCAGTGTCTTTTCAAAATCATTACTAGCTATCAGGATCAGTAGGAAAAGTATACCCTTGAGACAATTTTGCTGTAAAGAACCTTTTTGTTGTTTGTGTATTCTTTTATTTTGTTTCTCTTAGTCTGCTGATAGGGTTTAAGGCACTCCTGTTGAATAAGAATCCTGAAAATACATATCCACTTTACCAAAGCTCTTGGGGGGAAATTGTTATCAGAGAACTGTTAATTTTGCAACATTAGTTATTGATGTCCCTAAATTGAGTTTTGTTTTCACTTCTGAATGGAGAATAATTGGCTTCAGCAGTTCATGGTAATTCATTCAAAGCTGTGGATAGCATTTAAAGTTTAAAAAAAAAAAGGCAAAAACAAACACCCCAAACAAACAAGCAAAAAGGAAACAAACACCCTCCTCCCCCCCTTTTTTTTTTTAAAGCAATACTTGATAAGTTAATTTCTTTAAATCAGTAACAAATTGAAAATAAGGAAAACTAAAAATCTGTTGCCATCCTTGGAAAAAAGCTAAGCCTCCTTAACACTGCTCACTCAAGCTATAAGAAATTTATTAGTGCTAATCTTAAAGATCAGCTTGTTTACTAATATATATTTTTTTTTCAGGAATTTGAAGATAACTTTGATGATGAAATAGATTTTACACCTCCAGCAGAAGACACTCCATCTGTTCAGTCTCCAGCAGAAGTGTTTACTCTTTCCGTTCCAAATATTGGTTTACCAACTCCTTCCCAGTTTCCATCTCGTACAGGTAAAATACTGTTTTTCAATGAGAATCAAAAGTAGACAATTTCAGTGTCAAAAGTGGAGTGTAGCTGATTATATTTGACTTTACTGTAACAAATGAGTTGTTACAAACTTACACAAACTGAGTAAATATATAGGATATAGGATAAAATATAGGATATTACTTCAAAAATGTTAATTTATGGCAGGGTGCCATGTAAGGTAGCTTATGAGAATGAGACTAGCTTAAGTGTTTCCAGAGTACTTCTATTAAACCTCTCTCTACATGAAGGGTTTGAAGTACTCTAGGACATGACATGAGTGACTTCTGCTCTTTAGTGGTTTTCTTCCTGGCTAAGTTGTCATTGGATTTTGTGCATTAGCCTTAAATGCAAGCAAGAGTGAATCTCTTCTGTGACAGCAGTGTTGCTGTTGCAGCTGCATGGCTTTCTTAATGTCACCATAAACTTTTCATGCTGTAAATATGGTATTGGTAAGACAGAGCATTACATTTCTTTTCCATGTGTGAAAGGTTTTTTGGAATGTGTTCTTCAAAATACAATTTTTGTAAAAGGAAACTTAAGCATCTTAAATTTTACAAGCATAATTTGGTATAAATTAGTTGTTCTTATACTACTTCACACATAATTTTTACATACATGGCTTGTCTTGCTTCATCATTATATGTTCAGGTTCTAGCAAAATTTCTGCACCTACAAATTTCAAGAAACTGTCAGTGTGCCTTTAATACAAAAGAAATGTTATTCCTCAGTGTGTTAATGAGTGAGGGAAAATTATCTGTGAAAAATTTTGTCAGCTATTCTACATTGCCATAATTGTTTAAACTATACCTTCTGTCACTAGAAGTTATTTTGCCAGAAGTAAGAAGTATGCTTGAATAAGGTACACTGGTAAAAATGTAGTAGTATGGATACAGGCTTCTCTGTGCTTAGGAGCACATTGACAGTATATTGTAGAGCTGTAGCTATTCCAGTAAAATAATACTGCTGTGAATGTGGCTTATGGAAATACAAATGTGGGCTAGAAGTCTCTGTCAGACAAGCAGGAATGATGGAAAGTTTTTGTGTGCATTTATTAGTGTTCCTAACCAGTTAGACAGCAGAGGAATAAACACTGCTGAATCTCTTCTGTAGTGTAGAGTCTGCCATTGTTACTGTCCATCCTTTGCTGAGATCTGGGTCTTGTTTTCTATACTTTCCCCCTCTGGACTCTTTATGTAAAGTATTTTTAGTCAGAAAATGTCCTCCTTCCAGATGGTAACTATAAGTAGGGCAGTTAGACTGAAGAATAAAGTAGTCAGACCCTTTCTCTTAAAATGGTAACTCTCTGTATAACTATAAATGTTAAGATCTACAAGCAACGAGTGTTGTCTTGAGTTTTCTACTTTTATTTACATAGGAAACTTTTGTAAGTAGGTTAACTGCTCTACCCAGCTACAGGGTATGATACACTTTCATATTGGAATTAGAACTTGGCCTTTTTGTTTTCTTGCTGAATGTGTTAAAAAAAATCAGAAGTTTACTTTTGGTAATGAGAATCTCAGTGTTTTTGTAGGGGGTGTATTCTAGTATGGTTTAGAAGCTGGAGTTGAGAAAAGTTTCATTTGAGTGCTGTTGTCACAACATTATATTCATACTTCATCTATGTCTGGGGTTTGTTGCTTGATCTGAACGTATGCACATAATTGGGAATAAATATTGTAGGACCTTGCATTATTGCCTCAGAGTTGATGAATTTGGCCATCTAAGCGGCTTGATACATGTTACATTTGTTTCATTGTGTGTGACAGATGGATCAAAGTCTCAAGTTGCACGTCAGAGTCTAAACTACATCCAGGAAATTGGAAATGGCTGGTTTGGAAAGGTGAGGAGTTATCTTTTGATATTGTACTGCAGCTTGAGTCTGACTAAGGTACTCTATTTCCCTTAAAATGGTACTCTTAAAAAGAGAAAAAAGCAACAGCATAAGAAAAACTGACATTGAAATTAGATGTTTCCTTACCTGCACTTTATAGCTGTAATAACAGCACTAATCAGTGCTTCTTTAATTTACATGAAGTTTCTTACCAGAGTTACTTATTAGATAGATATTTCATTTCTGTGGATTTGAATTAATACATTCCTGTGATTATCAATTCTTTCTAGGAAAAAATCTTAAGTAAATAAGTGGTCTTTACTAGAAAACATGTTTTTTGAAAGTTGATATATAGGTCACTTGTCAAGGTTTATTAAGTATGGGCGTTTAATTATCAAAGCTCTGCATGCATTGGCAAAAAAGCCAGAAAAACTTTCTTACAGTATGTTTTTAGCTCTTGTTTTTCTTTGCAGAGAAACTCAAAAGTTTTTTTCCCCTCTGATTAAAGACACAATGATTATCTTCTTTCAGGTTCTGCTTGGAGAGATCTACACAGGCACTAGCGTAGCAAGGGTAATAGTGAAGGAGTTGAAGGCAAGTGCAGGTCCCAAGGAGCAAGAACAGTTTTTAAGAAATGGAGAACCCTATTAGTAAGTGACATTTCACAGCTTGGTTAACTTACTTCATAATACTGCATATGAATTATGGACATATCTTTTGTTCAGTGGTGGTGTCCCTATTTGCTCTCCCTTATAACCGAAATGCTTGTCTTTAAAAAGCAAAAAACAGACAATCCAAAGTGAGCAAAATTTGGGTTTGCTTAGAATTAAAATTAAGCTTTTTGCTTAAATGTGTTTGGTAGTTATTATTCATGACTGGGAAACACAGTTGTTTTAGTTTATCAGATTTTCTTCTACAGCTGTTTGGAACAAACTCCTGATTTTGCAAACTAACGTTATGCTTAATTGCCTCTGAGAAATAAGTTTAAACCCATATACTTAGCTTTCTTGTTAGAAGCAGGGGAACTGGCAACACTTTATCAGATTAATTTCTTTGAAGTTCTCTTTTTTCAAAAATTTAAATGCAGCATAGTGATAAGACCAAATTTTGTTCAGATAGCTTGAAAGGATGCTTGTGGACAAAAAAAACCCAAACCAGAATTACACTAACTTCAGTCCAGTAGTACTCTACAACTGAGAAATGCCAATAAAAAAGGATTGTTTAGTGTTCTCTTCCTCTTGTGTTATGCTTGAAGAATACTCACTTCTAGGGGTTGAGTCTTTGTAAACTAGAAAGGAATTTGTTATATTAAAAGGAGTGTAATTTCTCTTGTTTTGGGAATAGTGAGAATTCTCTGAAGAGCTAACTGTCACAAGTTAATGGCTGTTGTAGATGATGAGAGGGGCATGTTGTAGTTAACTAGACATACCTCAGTGTGGTTTACCTTGCCTGACTATGCTACAAGTGGTCAGAGCGCTCTCTATTCTTAATGCTTCCTAATGTCCTAGTTATATTTGTATTCAGGCTTAAATTGTTGGCAGTTGTCAGAAGAAGAAATCTCATGCCTTCTGCTACATTGGCATAAGTGTTTTTGAAGCAAATTAGAAAAAGTAACTTATCTGGCTGGGAGCTAACCTGGCTAAAAAAAGGTTTAGCTTTTAGCCAGATTGGTTCCTTGGTGTAGTTTGGGAACCAGTTGCATGTGCTAATTTTAGGTATAAGGGATGGTGGGAGGATGGGTGTGACTTTCTTGTGGCGGTGCTGGCTTTTGTGGTTTTGAGATCCTCTGAGTTTCAGCTGCTTTCGATATGCTGCAGCAATACAAAGGAGATAGAAGGGTGTAAATGGAAATCTGTGCCTTTGGATATTTTCACCTTTTGTTTGTTATATGCCCCCCCTCCCCACCCCCTGCCCCCCACCAGTGTTAGGTGTTGAAACTTGTGGTAGGGATTTCAGTGTGTTGTGTTATATTGCAAATAATGTATAATATGATCTTTCTGCCTTGTTTTTTTTTACTTCAGCATTCTTCAGCATCCAAACGTTCTCCAGTGTATTGGGCAATGTGTGGAAGCCATTCCTTATCTCTTAGTTTTTGAGTTCTGTGACTTGGTAAGTGCACTTACTCAAAAGGTTGAAATTGTTTTTCCATTGGTATAAACTGTATGTAGTGTATTTACTGTCCTTCACTCATGAAATGATTCTTTATTTTTCTGGGAAGTTTTTTGAATAACCAGAATTTAGGAAGACAGACTTTTTTTTGTTTAGAGACAGACCATGTCTTGCTTATATTCTTTTGAATTCATCATGTAAAATCTAGGTGCTTGTGGAATGTTCTGAAGAGGAAGATAGCTGTTTTTTCTTTAATAATGGAATTACTAGTCTCTTTCAAGCCTGCCTACATCATGTAACAGTGAGCTTGGAGAGGAAAGGAGGTCATAGAAGGAAGCTTTTTATTGCAGTCCACTATCACAGGCACATGCTCACATCACATCCTAAATTCTGTTTTTTATCTGTGCAGTCTTAGTGTGCTTTTATTACCATGTCTATGAAAATGTTGACTGAAGAAAACTGAGCAAAGAATTTCTTCTCTTCTGCCTGCCTCCCTCCCGGCTGCCCAGATTTTACCCATGCTGTGCAGCTTTGGGCTAAAATGCAATGGTGGGCTCACCCGCAGAATCAGTAATGTGTATTGTAATAGCTAGAATTTTCAGTATCATCCCACTCCCTGATCCTTTCTGTTACTTTATTGTTCTTTTCCCTACTTTCTTACCCTTCCTTTCTTTCACTTCCCCACCTGCCCCAAGCAAGTGCTGCCTTGTGCTTCCTGAGCACCAAAAGAAATGCTAAGAGCACAGTGAAGGCTGTTCTCACTGCTTTCTGCTCTGCTGTTAGTGTCACAAAGGCCACTGAAGATGGGAGGGATGGTTGCACAAAAACCTTGCTCAGCCACTGCATTCCTGGGCAAGTGTTGGAACTTACATGAATGTGGTGAGAAACTTTGAACTATGTCCAGTATACAGAGAATCTTTGGAGATTAAAATTTGGATATGGTGATGCATCTATGGTCTGGAAAGACCAGAATTGTTTTATTATAGCATAACACATCTTAAGAAAACAAACTAACCTGGAACTCCAGGTGGCTATCTAAACATTGGCTAAATAGCTACTTTTAAAGTTTAGGTAGCGTTTAAAGCAGAGTTCCTTGCAAAACGTCAATACAGAAATGAACTCAGAAGTGCACATCTGTTATTAAGAAATAAGTCTTTTAGAAGTAAAATAGCTTACATTTATAAAATTCAGTAAGATCCTTTTTTTACCAGGTTCACTACTACAGAATTTTCCTTTAAACTCAGGTGTGCAAATGTGGTTTTAGTTGACATCGGTTGCCTCAAGCACTTTAAATAAGAGTTAACATGAACTTTTTGAGTTTTCTTGAGAAACATCAGTTAATCTATGACCTTAAATAACTATTTTTCATTACTGCTCTTCTGCTTAAATTTATGAGCTGTGGTAAATTAATGAGGCAGAAGTGCTGATAAAATCATTCTTCGCTAAATGGAAGAAATGCCTGAACTTTTAAAATGACTGATCAAAGTGAAATGTTTCTTTTTTGCTAAGAATTAAAAAGTAGGTGCCTAAGGTTAGCCAGATAACGTTTTTTATAGTTTTTCAATATATAGAAATAGAATACTACTTACTGATTTTTAAACCTGCTACTCAAACTGGAGGTTCTTTAAAAGAACTTTTGAAAGAGAATTGCATTTTATAAAGTCTAATAGATACATATCCAAATCAGATTTAATTGCTGCCATGTTTTTAAGTAGTTATGCTATTTAATCCAACTTTGAATTTGAAAATGGAGTAACTTTTAAAGATTGCCCTACTTTAAGTATACAGGAAAAAATTTATATTCTTGTTTGATGCCTGGTGATTAATGCCAGAAATTGTCATGATCCTGCAGAGTAGTCTGGAAAGGATTTTACTTAAGGGGATAAAATAGATTTTTTTACTTCAACTAGGGGCAGTAAGCTTGACAGCCACAGTGGTAGTTTTATAAATTTGAATGTGGTTAGGTAATTTCTTTGGAATGGAAAATAAATATCTGTGCTGATTTCTATTCCAAGTGAACTAAAACTTGTTTTTAGAAAATTATAGTGAGTTAATCATGACTTCCATACTAAGTCTGGCTCACGTAAAGAGTTCTTACTTGGTGGAGCTGAGTATCTCCTAGACATCGTAGTATTTTATTCATTGTGTTCAAATATACAGGGGCTAGGCAGACAAAACGGTGTTCGCTTGAACAGTTTTATGCAGAGATTGAGATGTGTGCAGTAAGTTAGCTCAGTATGGCTGTATGTCACTAATTCCTGTTGTAGTCCCAGGGCCTAGTGTGGGAGGTAGCAGTACTGGAGTGAGGGGAGAGGAGAGACATGAAGAAGGGAGAAATGTGAGGGAAGCCAGACGGCACCATTTGGAATAGAAGGTATGGCTAGATAGCTTTTTTTAGTAGACAGGTTTTTAGTGGAGTGTCAGTAGGCTGGTATTCTAGAAGCTGCTTTTTATCACTGTGGCTGGATGGCATTTACTTGGATTTTTTCAGGCTTTTAGTAAGTGATTTTGAAAGCTGATAGCTTCTTTTATACTTTTTTTTTTTTCTGAAATGGAGTAAATTGGGGGTATGAAGGTGATTTCAGAACACGGAAGAGTCTTATTCTTCAGCAGAAAGAACATGGGGCAGATGCAGTTGAAGTAGTTGACTAAAAGTTCTAGTGTCTGTGGTGACTATGTATTGTTCAGATGGGAAGGATGAGAAACGTGTTCCTGTTTTGCTAGCAGTAGTATAATGCTATGCTAAAAGCTCTTTACCTTGTGTTACTGGTGGTGTGTCTGTTTATACAGCAAAGAATAAATTTGTTTTAATCCCTTGTATACTTTATTAAGAATTTGATGGTTAAGAAAAAAGGTGACAAATATGTCAGTTGTTTTGGATAGGAAATTTAAACGGCTTCAGATGACAAGTTCTTTTGAGGCTCTTTCAGCAATGTAGACCTCATTTTGCAAGTTTGCTCTATTAAGTAATGTGGCTATTCTGACCAACAGAGTCTAGAGAGTAGAGTGGCTGTTTTCTTTACACAGCGTGTCCCTTTTTTGCAACTTCTCTTACTAAGATTTGTAGCCTTTTTAGGGTCACTTGACCTTGTATAGCTGCTGAGACAGCCCTGTTGGGTTATCAGTTCCCAGGCTTCTTGGCACTGAAAGGTCTTGATCAGAGGCACTGGAAACTAGCACAGAGATACCAGAGCTAACTGTCATGGTAGCAGTGCTGAATGTCATGCAGGCTAACAGACTTGTTTTCTTGGCTGTATAAACTACTTAAACATTTCTGTTACTCGAGATTGCTTGGTTGTGTATGCAGTAACTGCATTTGCTAATGCTTAGCCTATTTTATAATGTAATCCAAGCTGCTGTGTGTCTCTTGCTTTGCAGGGCTGGGTAAGAAGCAGGAGAGGTCAGTTGCACAAGTGATTTAAGCTTTTAAAGCCTAATTTTCCTTTGTGTTAAAATTGTTTAAAAATTGGTAAATATAAAAAGAAATGCTCACTAAGTTCTTACACCCCCACCAACCCCACCCATATTAGTTTGCTTAGTATGTTGGCGAAGTCTGCTATGAATAGTTAACTGTTCACTGTTAAACATTGTAGAATGATGCCAGGTTAAAAATAGTGGTAGCTGGCTTATTAACTTTAATATATTACTCAGCCATGTGTGGCCAGCATTTTGTCAGCACAGCAAACCCTCTAATGGATTGACATAATTTATGAGTAAAGGAAAGTTATTCAAATGTGGAAGTAGCATGTATATTGTGAGGCTGATTTGCCTATCAAATTCTTACAGAAATTCTTCTTCAAGTCTTGCAATTCCCTGAGCAGATGAGATCAGCAGGATGCTGTATTTGCCTGGAATGCCCTCTAGCTTGCTTTAGGGATGTTGCTGTTGGCGGAAGGTGCCTGCCTGCAGTGGTTGGTTTTCTTTTGCTTGGTGGTCTTCTAGTTACTGCCACTTGAAAACATTATCTTCAAATCAAAAAGGAATCTTTGCAGTGAAAACTTCTTAACCAAAGAGTGAACAAATCTGTTTAATAATCATAGTAAATATTGATACGAGGCAATTAGTAGATATATCGGTGGTATATGGTTTAAAAAAAAGGAGGAGGGCGTTGACAGGTCATGACAGCTTCAGAAACCAGATCTGTTGGGTTCAAAGACTCTTTATGCTCTCAGAACTGTTTAATGTTTGTTACACTTATGCCTAAACAACTTTCTGGTAGTATAGGTGCTGTATACCATACACAAGTTTCAGGCATTTTAATGGTAGTGGCTGTAGGTACTTACATGGCAAATCAACCTTGGAGTGTGGGGTAGGAGTAGTATTTTTAGTTGTCTGAAATTCAAAGGGGGCAATTATGTGGTATTGTGTGACTTGGCAGGTAGCTTTCTAACTTGGTAGAAAGTGTTCAGTAGACATAATTTGTTAACCTCTTTACAGTTCTAAAATCCCATCATCGGTACATACTGGTTTAAAAAGTCATTTCAGCTATTTGTTTAGGTGTTCATATGAACCAAATGCAGAATTTGCAGGAACAAGAAAAGCAGAGTACTGCATGTAAATATGCCCCCTGGCTTCTGGCTGTTACAGAGAAAAAGCATATTAAGACTTACTTACAAAGATGGCTGAACTGATCCTGATTAGAACTGAAAAGGATGGGAGAAAAGGTGAAATTTAGTTCTTCGTGGAGTCCCAGAAGAGGAGGAGGGAAGAGGCAGAGTGGCAGAGGAAGCTGGAGAGAAAGTGGAGCCTTCTTCTAGCATGACTATTGAGCTTTTTATATTTAGGCGTTTGCACAGTGAATTTTGCAGAACTGTATTTATTCATGTATGTATAACCTTTGATATTTATTGTGTTAAAAAATCTGTGTGATAAAGGGCCATTTTGTGGCTCATAAAATAGTATGGGAATAGTATTGATGTATTGCTACTGTCTGCTTGTAGGTAGGGAAACATCACAGGCTAATTCAGGCTAGCAAGGAGCTCAGGAGGTCTTCACTCCAACCTCCTACTCAAAGCAGTGTCAACCTGTGGTCAGACCAGATTTCTCAGGGCTTTGTCCATTTGGATCTTGAAATCATCCAAGGGTGGAAACGGCACAGTTCTCTGAGCAACATGTGCCTCAGCTGCAGTGTCCTCATGTGGAAAACAGTTTTCCTTGTACTCAATCTGAATTTCTTGTGTTTTAACTCAGGACTGTTGTCTCTTGTCCTCCCTCCATGCTCCACAGCGTAGAGTCTGGCTCAGTCTTTAATAACTTCATGCATACTGGACAGCTGCTATCAGGTGCTCCCAAAGCTGCCTTTTCTCCAGGCTGAATGAGCCCAGTTCCCTCTCAGCCTTTCCCAATAGTGAAATGCTCTGACCCCCTGACTGTCATGGCCCTGTGCTGAACTTGTTCCAATCTGTTGTCTGTCTTGTTTTGGGGCAGCTGATACTGGACACAGGATCTAAATGTGGTCTAACAAGTGCTGAGTAGAAGGGAATAATCCCTTGCCTTGGTCTACTGGCTCTGGTCCTGTTCAGGCAGTCCAGAAGGCTGCTTGCAGTCTTTGTTCCAGGGCACACAGGTGGTTGATGTTCAGCTTGCTGTCTACCGAGATCCCCAGCTCTCTTCCTGCAGAGGTGCTGCCCAGCTGGTCAGTCCTCAGTCTGTATTGCTGCAAGGAGCTTTTCCTTCCCAGGTGCAGGACTTGCATTTATCCTTCTGGAATTTCATGAGGTTCCTGTTGGACCCTTCTTCCAGCTTGTCCAGGTCCCTCCAGATGTCAGTTCAGCACTCAATACACTCAAGTATTCATTGGTTCCCCCAGACTGGTATAAGCCATGTCATTTTAAAGCAATAAAAAAGATAAAGTTTTGTATTTTGTATTTTTAACCTTGATTGTAGCTTTAATTAGAATGGGAAAATGGAACCAGTATGTTTCAAGGTGCTGGATTTAATAAAAGTTGTATTTCCTGCAAGAATGTGTGCCTACATGAATAATTTAGTAAATAAGGGATGCCACACAGCATTGCTGTTACTAATGCATTTAAAAATTAAAAAGCAATTCCTTAGTGCGTTTCAGGCATCCTAGGAACTTAATCCACCTGAGACAAACTCTAAGTAACCATTTGCTGTTTCAATGAATGACAATTTTGGAGAGTTTGACTTTCTTCAGGCGCTTGCTGCCACCTAGAGTCAGTTAAGCTCGGTATTTTGTAGTCACTTTTATGTGTTAGGCTGCACAATTAGGCATCTGTGTTTGTTATGGACACTCTTAGTTTCATAGTTTTTTGGAACCCTGCTCTAGTAAGTCTGTTCTTTCAAGGTACAAAGGGGGGGGTGTGTGTGTATGTAATGTTTATACATATATACGTATGTATGCAGTATGATATTAAAGCTGTAATTGTAAGTCAGAAGACTCTTTGGGGAAACATTTTTTTAAAATGTAATTCTGTAGGATGCAAATACATAAATTTTACTTAATTAGTAGCTAAAAACAGGGTAAAAAGAATGTAATGAAGGCTTCTGTAACATTAAACAGTATTAGTAGTTATGCATGCTTTCTCCCAAGGTGGTATAGCTACTTGCAGCATAAGTAGTACATATAGAGCAGATAAAGAATAGCTGCTTGTGTGTACTGTAGAATCTATATTTTAAAAAATTAAAATGAAGTTGTTTTACATAGGAGTAGTGTCTGCTTTTAAGTAGACTGTCTCATTGCTGCTTATTTTATTAATTATGACACAGGTTTGTGACTGTCACCTTAGCTATCACTGCTCTGTTAGATTTGAATGCAGCACACAGACATCTGCTGCTCGAACTAATAGAGTTGTAAATTGTCACCCTCAATTAACCATGTTAAGGAGGAACAAGATGCTTCAGTTAGAGTTCTGTAAGGTACATGGGTGCCAGAGGAACAGGAAATTTAGTGCTTTTCAGTCTTTTCTGAACATCAGAGTGCTTTTTAGCCAGTGCAAGGACTGCCGCCTTGTCTGGTCCAGCTCAGGACTTCCCTTCAGTCTCCTTCCTGGCAGACAATGGACATGGACAGTTAGAGCTCAGAATGCTACAGTGGTGAAACAAGTTGTGATGTACTATATTGTGCAGTCTCAAAACAAAAGTATCCTCTGAAATAATTTGCTAAATTTACAGAATGTCTGTATTTTAAATAAGAAAAATATAGGAGTGCTAGGTTAGAAGTCCAGCTGTGAAAGTAAGGAACAATAATGGCATGAGAAACTTGTTCTCTTCCCTTGCTTGGATTCACTTACTATAGTCTTCCTTATCCTGAATGTTAGACAACTTCTAGTTATTCTCCCTATATTTCAAAGCTGTTCTTTTTTTAGTGATGTTTGGAGTACTTCTGTGGGCTCATTAATTATGTGTCTGTTGCTCAGCTTTGCCTAGGTTCAGTAAAACTGCTGCCATCATCTGAATTCTTTGACTGGAGTGGGATGTATTACCATGCTTTTTATATCTAAAGCTCTGGTGAGCTGGCAATGTCTGAAACCCTTTTCTCTAGTCTCTCCCTTCTATCTCCTTGTACATTCCAGACAGTCAGCTTTGCTGTTTTGGAACACTTGAAAACTTGTTTAAAAACAGAAACTCATCAAACTCTGTTTTTTTAATACGAAGTATTATTGTGTGACAGGTTTTATGTGGCAGTCTGATGTAGGATGTTAATTACTAAATGATGTGATTAAAAAACCCTTAAAAGGACAATACTATATGCCTTAGATGACTTGTTGTAAGAATCCTTATGGGGACTGGAAATGTGAGGAGATATTTTTTTTATTAAGACAAATCTGGTTAATAAGTTATGTGGTTAGTTGGTTCTTCATTAAATATTTTTCAGATTCAGCCAGCATACAAGGCTGATAAGTATTTTCAACTTCTTTTGCAGGGTGACCTAAAAACTTATATCTGCAATGAGCAGGAACACATCAAAGGAGATTCACAAATAATGCTGCTACAGAGAATGGCGTGTGAGATTGCTGCTGGACTTGCTGTAATGCATAAACATAATTTTGTGCATAGGTATGTTTTCTAGATTAATTACTTTTAGTTATGATGCACTCTAAAATTCATGGAAATATTTTCATTAAAATCTGTGTATTGAAGCTAGAGTTTTAACAAACTTCTGTCTAACTTAACGTATTCTAAGTCATGAAGTTGTGATGCTTATGAAGGTGCTAATTCAACTGCAGTGGTGTGGTGTTAAGCTCCCACCTGGCTGAAAGCTGATCACTTACATTTTTAAGTTTGCAGCCCACAGAACACAACCTATTGCTAAGACAATCCAGAAGATGTAGTTGTTTGATTAATTCTTGGCCAACTTAAATTTGGTTTGTTTATTGTGAGGGGAGGGATGTTAGAATTTTGTGAGAATGAGTCTTAACCTGCTGTGTATTTTTAATAGATTATAGAAATTCAGAACTTGTGTTTCATGGTCTGTTATATTTGTAACTAACAATGGGAAAAAAAAGACAATGCTGCTTTTCTAATAGTAGGGGAGAAGCTGACTTCAGATTAAAAAAATCTGATTGAGGCAGGTATTCTGTCACTGAATTATGGTTCATGTAACCTTCTAATCTTCAGTAATGAAGGTAGTCAGATTTAGAAGAAATCATAGTGGGAAAACAATTTTATTTTAATTGGTGGGGAAAATGCTTTATTTCTTTAATGCAATCAATACTGAAAGCATGGCAGTTGTTTTAAAAGGAAAAAAAGTATTCATGAAACATTCAAGGAATTGGAAGATATCAAACCTTAGACTTGTCATGACTAAAATACTACAGAATGCTTGCTCCCTAAACATGGCTTACCTGATGAAACCTTGGGTATCACAAGATAGTTTATTTTGGTTTTATATTGAGTCGGTATGTTCTTTGCTGTAGAAACATCACTGGCATCATGCCTTTCAGCAAGTTAGGAACTTGTGCTAGAGCTTATCAATGCACATCCTGCTACTTAGAGAAAACAGAGACCTTGTGTTCAGGGAGAAGCTGAACTATCAAACTGGAGTCTGTAAAGGTGCAGGTGTACAAAGCAAAACCCCAAGAAAACCCCAAAGCCTGAACTCAGCTGCTGTCTGATGGGAAGAGCTACTCTTTTAACTTGTTTAACAGTTTCAAATGACATGAAGGTAGTTCCAAGTGTATCTGTCAAACTGAGTGATCACTGTTTCTTGTATTGCAGCAGCATGGCTCTGTAGGTATTAAATTTAACAATACATTTTCAGTGAAATACAGTTAAATTTGATAAATAATTATTCTGTGGATCAGCAGGATTCTCACTGTAAATGTTTACTTCTAGCAACACTATCCTGATGCTGTCAGAGTAAGTGGTAAAGCTCCAGCATCAGTGATTTTGTTGTTAGTGGTAAATTCAAGCAGCCAAAATTTTACTTTCTCTTCCAGGATATTTAAGTAAATAGTATAAAACAAGTTGGAAAGCTTTGGAGCATACTTCAGATGTGTTTCTGACCTGTGTAGTTCTATGACTCTGGAAAGAAAAACATGTTCTTCTGTCTCTGAAGGAGGGAAACTGTGTGGCTTTCAGACCATTTGTACTTCAGAGGTTTTTTTAAGCCACACAAGCAATAGTAGAGTTTTTCCAGTGCAGTCGGTGCACGTAATTGCCTGGTACCCTTCTGTGAAACTGAAAAGTAAAACATTTGAGATGGTTTTTGGAGCACTTTGCTGTCACAGCTACAGTTCTGTAGTAAGCATGCAGCTTCGTTAAACTTACATAAATTCTGAGCCTGTACGATGGGTTTTCTAAAACAGTTTCTTGGTATTACTGCAGCAGCACTGCTGGCTTATAAGTACTTGTGGGCTGGTGTATGGTGGAAACAGGAAACAACTTCTGTGGGTATTCAAAGGCTTTTTGAGTTGTTTGTTAACAGTCTTTTATGGAATACATTACTTTTCCTGATCGTCTTTTTTGAATACTCTCTGTAGTTCTAGTTCATGTATAATGTATGGGTTTGTTATTTAGAGGAACTTAACTGTAGGTATAAGGTAGTATTAGTTGCTTAGTATCATATAGTGAATTAAGTATTTAAACCTGATCTGAATTGTTGATAGATTTTGCTTATAACAATTAAAATGCAAGACATGGAGTGACAGCTGTTATCTGGAGAGGGACCTACATCACTCAAGCATGTGAATAGCCAAAGTAATCTGCATGATAAGATTATTATTAGAATTAAATAATTGCATATAAATTCTGTGTGTAGTTTGAATGCTTAAGAATATACTTCATTGTTCTGGAGAAGTGACTACATTTTGAACTTGTTTGGAAAGGACAGTATAATAGTCTGGGGCTTTTGTATAACATCTTTACATGCAATTGCCTTCTCACTATGTTTTCTTTGGATTCCAGAACACAGATTGTGTTTGATTGTGTGGCTCTAAACTGATTCTCCTTTGAAAATGTGGGAGGGCCTAAGGGCAATCATATCCTTGTGGCCACAAAACAAATCTTGTCCAATAAGTCTATTGTAAGGAGAGGCCCTCTCAGTGTTTGTGTTTTCTCAAAGTGATGAGTGTTTACATAGAACTACCATGTCTGCAGTATTCCAGTGAGATAGGGAATCAATTCTTGGCTTGTTTAGGTTCTAAAACTTAATGAAAATGTAAGCAACAAGAGAACTATCTTAACACATAGTTCGGATCAAAGTAGTACTTTTGAAATTTATCTCCTCAGTTACTGTGTGTGGGTTTGCATTATGAGTTGGTCTTTTGGAGTGCATGGACTGGTTTAATTTCATTCAGAGCAAATCAGAAAGGTTATTTCAGGAGCACACCTTTCTTGCACCTAGTTTCCTTCAGCCTTTAGTAGGATTTACGTCTATGGGATTGGACTACAGGTGATGTGAATAAAATTGTTGAAGTATATATAGTGTGGATGTTGACTCTTCAGCACTACTGTGTCATATTGCTGATCTGCTATTATGGCCTGTACTTGCTAGAACTGTGCATAACTCTTTGATTTTTTTTTTTTGTGCTTTTTTTAAGAATTTTGTTAGCTTTTCATTTGATACTTTAAACTGTGGCCTGAATGTTTTAAGATGTGTCACTTGTCACAAGTGTTTAAGCCACTTGTCTGTATTTTCACTGAAAACTTCTTTATTTGCTTGCTTTTTCAGTGACTTGGCCTTACGAAATTGCTTCCTTACATCCGATTTAAATGTCAAAGTAGGAGATTATGGCATAGGATTCAGTAGGTTTAAGGTAAGTTAATCTAGTCATGTACTGCTTTTTTTTTTTTTTTTTTAAGTATTTGGGGCCTAAGGTTATAACAAGCATACTTTAAAGTTATAAACTGATACTAGATTGTCCTTTTTGTGAATAATGGACTATAACTGCCAAATAACTGTAGCAAGCTCATGTAACAGAATCAATGATCTTTCTAGGGTTGAGTGGAATTTATGCTGTAGAAGGAAGCTTCTGGTTAAATCTGATATTTTTTTTTTAGGTTCTATTTACAGTAGTCCTGAAAAATGCACAAATTCATTTTAATGTTTTAAGAAAGGAAAAAGTCAAATTTCTTAATGAAAATGTGCATAGTATTTAAATATATCAAGAAAGCAAAGAATTCAAGGCATTAATTAAAAATGCTTTCTGAGTACCAAACCTTAAACAAGAAGTTGGCATTCAGTATTTCTAGTATGTAATGAACTGTGAATGCCTTTCCTATAGCATTATTCTCTGCTACTTGGGGAAGATGGGATTAATTTTTTGAATTCTAACTTTTTGCATAGGGATCACATAAAACCATATTAAGGAAAAGACTGTTAACTTGTGGAAGTTGATCCAATGTTTGTTCAGTCTGTCTTTGTTTTCTTTTATCAATAATTTAGGAAGATTATATTGAGACAGATGAGAAGAAACTTTTTCCTCTCCGATGGACTGCACCTGAGTTAGTAACAAGTTTTCAAGACAGACTGTTATCAGCAGAGCAAAATAAATACAGCAACATATGGTATGTAGTAGACTTTAAAATCACTTCAAGAGATTTGTAATCATATTTTCACAAAGGAGTAAATAATATTTATAGTTAAATTGAATATTGGCCTGATGAAAAAGTAAATAAAACTTTTTTTATATCATTGTTGATCTCTACAAACCTGAAACTATATCTTGCTTTGGGAGGATGCATAGAAATCTGTTGAGAGAACAGTTAGATTAAAAAAAAAAAAAACACATTTAGAAGAAAAAACATGCAGAAGAAAAGGTGTTTATACTAATAAAAGTCATTACTGTGTATTTGCCAAATGCCTTCAACTGTTTATAAAGGAAGGAAATGGTAAATAGTTTTTCCAGTAATGTAACAGCTGTGAATGCCATAAAAAGTTGATACCATTAGAGCCCAATCAAGTTCCATTGATAGAACTGTAGCATCTTAAATTCTTGCTGCAGCATGAGGGCTGCAGCTAATTGTCCCTGCTACCAAAGAGCTTACAGATAATAGCTGGTGAAAATCTTGAAGATGAACTTTTTTGAAATCACTTCAATTTTCAGTTCCTCAGAAATTTGCATAATGGAAATTGAGGTTTAGGCTAACATTTTTGAAGACATTGTAGTTAAATTCCTGCTTTTATATTCTAAGGTTGTTAAATAGTAGACTAGGTTTTCTTTGCTAATTTAAAGGTCGGGTTGCAGAAATCAAGTGGGATATATAGAAGTTATCTAAATACTGATTTCCTTGCACTCTTCAAGCAGGCTTCCTCAGTTCATCTAAACTACAAGTAGCCTGGGTTGTAAGGTTGCCAACTTGAATTTTAGTGCCTCTTATACAGAGTTGCTTTGAACGGACTTGGACTAGATGACTTCCCTTCCAATCTAAATTATTGTAATGCAGAGTCAGTTACTTTGCATTTTGAACAAGGAAGGGTTGCCCAAAGATCAGCATCAACTAATCACTGGAAATGTGATTAGTGTTGTATACAGTATACATGCATGTATGTATACAGCACTGAGCAAAGAGGTGGCTTCTGAGTACTGCAGCTTAAAACCAAGTAATTTTATGAAAAGTGAAACAAAGATTAGTTTTCTAGCAGTTTGACCTATAACTGCAATTTATGGTGAAAGCTTTTCCTACTGTTGGAGTAACCATAGTTTTTTTTTGTCTTCCTTCTCTAAATAGGCATTTTCTGTTTTTTTTAATTTGTGGGGGTTTCTTCCATAGTTGAATCATTTTCAGCCTCTTATATTTTCTTGCCTTCATTGGTGTTACCTTTGTAGTCATTGCCTTCAAGCAACTTTATTTTTGAGGCTTCTAGCATTCTGTCAAACAAAATGAGTTAACAGGTTCTGAAGTTACTATAGAACCAATGGGAGAGTGATACTTGTTTTTTCTTGCCATTTATGCTTTGCACTATCCTTACTTTCTTAGGAAATCAACTTCAAAATAGTTCTTGGAATGCAGAGTCGTTTGCTCTTTTTCAGGTCCCTGGGTGTAACATTATGGGAGCTGTTTGAGAATGCTGCTCAGCCTTACTCAGACTTTTCTGACAGGGAAGTCCTAACCCATGTCATAAAGGAGAAGCAGGTTAAACTCTTCAAGCCACGTCTGGAGCAGCCATACTCTGATAGATGGTAAACTTTAAATGTTTTTATTCATTCTTAAAGTTGCTGAAAGCTTCTCAAATTACTGAGTTCTCTTGAATATACTTAAATTGTGACATAGAATCATGTTCCTGGGAAAGAACCCCTAAAGGGAGTAAAAGGAGTTGCTATAGATGGGAATTCCTGCCAATGATATTAATTGTTGCTCCTTAGTTTGTTAGATATCTGAATCTTATAAACTCATTTTCAGTATGAAACCTACTGAAATGTGTTTCTTATTTCTATAGGTATGAAGTTCTGCAGTTCTGTTGGCTACCTCCAGAAAAGAGACCAACAGCAGAAGAAGTGCATAGACTTTTAACTTACCTTCGCATGCAAAGCCAAAGGGACTCAGAGATTGATTTTGAACAGCAGTGGAATGCTCTTAAACCAAACACCTCAAATAGAGAAACAAATAATTCTGCATTTCCAATCTTAGATCATTTCACAGGAGATAGACTTGGCCATGAGATGGAGGAAGTTCTTACTGTAACTGAAACAAGCCAGGGTCTCAGTTTTGAATATATCTGGGAGGCAGCTAAACATGATCATTTTGATGAATGTGGTCATGTGAATCCTGATGAAGCAATGACATACACAAGTATTTTCTTTCCGGTGGAGGTTTTTGAGAGGTCGCTTTCAGAGCAAGGGTCGGGAGCACAGGATGGAAGTGGTCAAGAAGCATCACTTGCTGTCCCTGGAGTGTTACCTGTGTTTGATGCACATAAGCTTTCTGTTGGAAATGACTACTATATCCAATTAGAGGAAAAAGGAAGTGGCTGCAGCATGAATTTTGATAACCAATCAGTTGTGCTGACTACAGAAGTTGATCATCAAGAAGCTGTGCAAGAAAAAAGTTCTCATTTCACGGTTCTCAGGGATCTTGATGTTGAAGAATCTAGCACTGACGGGGACTTCTTCCACTACAATACTGATACTAAAGAGGAATTTTTACCTGCAACCAGCAGTCCAGAAAGTCCTTTCCAGAATATGTTTAATGACATTGACAGATCAGAAGAATTGACAAACAGAAAAATACTTAGTTTTGTTGAAACAAATGAAATTCCTAAAGACTTTAAACCAGCTGTTTTAAACTCGGACACAGATGCTAGAAAGGCAGTAGACCTTTCTGAGAAGGAGTATTCTAGTCATGCTTCTGAAAAGGAAACCGTTTCCTTATGTGAAAACATCTCTAACCAGTCTGACTTGGTAACTTTAGAGGAACTTTCTGATAACTTTTTGTTTCTTCAAGAGAAAAACTTATTAACAGGGTTATTGTCTAACAAAACCAGCAGTGATTATGGGCAAAAGCCAGAAGGTGTTCTAAAAAGTGTATTGGAAACGTCAAATAGAAACTCTGTAGAGCCTGAGTCTGTGCTGGCTGAAAATGCACAGGTCTTTTCTTTAATACATGAAAATCTTAGAACAGTGAAAGACGAAAATTTTAACCCAGTGACAATGAATAAAGATCCAAATTCTCAGTCTTCGACTACTGTAGAGATGCAGGCATCCTCTAGTCCATCTGCAGCACATAGGTCATGTGATAAACATGCAAATATTTCTTATTTGAAGGATGAGGAAGAACTATTAAATGTGGAAGTCAATGAAGTTGTGTCCTGTAATATTGATATTCTCTGTCAAGAAGAGTTATCCAATAATGCCAAAAATAATAATGTTGGAAACAATCCATGTTATGGTGTTGCTGTTGAAACAGATGAGTGTGATGCACAAATAAAACAGGGAATTCTTTTCAAGTCTGATGTAGTAGCTTTTAATAGAGAAAAATGTGGTGATCAGGAAGATGCAAAAAGAAACTTGCAAGATAAGTCTCCCATATTAAAAAAAGATGAATGTTTATTGGAAGAAAGGCAAGAAACATCAAAGAATTTTGAGAACTGTAAGGATGTTCCAGAAGAGGTGACCTTAATTTCTGTTGCTACTTCAGACTGTACAAGTCAGGATAGTCTTTTGGAAGACAGCCCATCTCCTATACAAACTGTGGAACAAACCTTAGAGACGCCCGATTCTTTGGATTCTTTAGATGTAAATGAGGTTTTAGAATCTTTACAGGCTCAAAGTCCTCAGAAACTTTTGCCACCCGATAGACCTGCTGACAGTGGCTATGAAACAGAGAACCTGGAATCCCCAGAATGGACTTCCCATATCACTGTTGAGGATACTTCTAGTGTAGATACTCCTCTCTGTGTTGTCAGTGAGAGCAATGTCAGTGCTTTACCTTCTAATCCAGTCATAATTGTTTCAGAAGCAGCAGCTTGTTTAGATGCAGTGAACAGCAATTTTGAAATAAGCCCAAAGGTTTTTCTGGGTGGAAATCAGAACTCCTATAGAGACTCTGCCTATTTCTCTGATAATGATTCGGAGCCAGATAAAAGAACTGAAGAGACTGTAAATCTGTCAAGAGAGACGATGTGTGTTTCTTCAAACAGGGGAGAGAATAGTGCTGAAGAGGATTACAGTTTTGAAGAGAGACAGCAAAAATGTGATGTAAGGAATTACCAGGATACCAGTAATGAAAATACAAAATTAGAACTAAATCACAACTTAGAGATCCAAGAGATGGATGTAAGGATGCAGGAGTGTCCTGATGAGTGGTCTGAGGCAACTATGAATTCCCTGGAAGTATCAATGGAAAGTAACCTACAGGATGAAATAAAACTATCTGAGACTTCCCATAAAACTGTCTCTTGTGTTGGCACTAATACTTCAGAACTTCTTTCACACAGAGACTTGAAATCTCTGCATAACATACACAGTCCTTTGGATTTGAGTAACAGTGAGAAGTCCTTCTATCACACTGAAGGACAAAAACTGAAAGAACCAGATATTGAAGGAAAATACCTTGGCAAACTCGATGTTTCCGGAATGCTTGATTTAGAAGATGGTGATGATGCAGATGAGGAGGATGAAAACAGTGATTCTGAGGATGACATGAGGACTTTTCATATGCATAGTCTGAGTTCTGACAGTGAAGATGAAACTGTTCATCAAGTACCTGAGATACTTACTGACAAGGATGATGGAAAACATCTGAGAAGCTTGTTAAAACTTCCAAAACCTCTTGATGAAAGGCAGCATGAGCACTGGCAAAATGAGAAAAAGGCTGTAACGTTCTTTGATGATGTGACAGTCTATTTGTTTGATCAGGTATCTTTTTTTAATTACTAAATAAAGTTTTTGTTGGTTTAGGGGTTTTTTTACACAACGTGGTAGAATAGCTTAATAATACTTGTGGACACATTGTTACAAGATGACCTTTCTTGTTTTGGCAGGGTTAGCTCTTGTTTGATGTGGGTTATTTTTTCTTTATATGTAAAGAAAAAAACCCTTTTTTTCTTGGCTAGGTGCAATTGTGTGCTGCTGGCAGAATAGCGGCACTAATTTGAAGTGAAGGAGGATTTGGCTTTGGGCAGGGTTGGCTGCCAAATCCTGAATATCTATTGCTTTTGGACCCTTGACTGCATGTGCTGAATGGAATGTGGCTTTTGTGATGTCTTTCTGATGTTTATAAGCTGTATTTAATTTGAATATATGAGACAACATCATTATGGACCAGGTTTCATTAATGTATTCTACCAGAATTTTGTTGTAACTTGGTAGAAACAGTTTATCTGTTTAATGAGTTGAAGGACTTTGAGTTTAAGCTCAAATGCCTTTACAAAAGAAAAGAAGAAAGAAAAAAAACAGAAACAAAAAACCCAAACCACAACCTCACTCTGAATTTTGTGTTAGGTAGCATGAAGGTAAATTTACATTAAAACATAATCAAACCTGAGAACAGTATTTAGATAGTAATGCAACTTTTTATTCATTCAAGTTCAGTGAAATACTGATCTGTTTATAAAATTCAGCATTACCTTTGTTTCCCTATCTGCTTTATCCATTTTTAACTTCTGTAACTTGATACAGTGGGGTTGTATTTTAACATTATAGCAACTAAACTAGTACAGTGAGTTCAAAAGAACAGTCACATTGTCAAGCTTTGGAAATGTTGCTTATGATGACGCACATAAATATTATAGATAACTGTGTTTTGGAATAGAAAACATAGGTGATATATTATGTTTATGCAGTCTGTAGAATAGTAATCCTTTTGTCAGAGGGGAAGGAAAAAACTGTGTTTAAACTGCTCTTAGTTCTTGAACTCTTTACTTATTACAGTAACTGATAAAATATTGGCTGCTTCAAATACTGGTCATACAAAGTCTGTCTTTTTGTCCTGAAGCATGATTAAGGGGTAAAAAACCAAAAAAAATATTTTTATATATATATTTTTTTTATTTATATTTTTATATATATATATATATATATATATATATATAAAAATATGTATGTGTGTTTGTATACATATACACATACATATGTATCCATTTAAGTAAAACCAATTATTTTGCAAAATTTCTTCTTATCTAATCCATTCTTTAGTAATCTGAGGATGAAATGTTTTAGCTGAAGGTGCAACCTGATCCCTTTTAAGGGCTAATGGGAGATATCCATCTCAGAGAAGAACGTAATTACTTCGATGCATGAAATCTGAGTAGTTCAAGGGAATCTATTGCTATTTGCATTTGAATGTATTAATTTTACAGTTATTAATGAGCATTGATTGCCCAGGTAATAAGAAACTTCTCATGTTCTGCATTCTTAAGCATGTTGCATATTCTGTCTCTTGAATTTTTCCTTCTCATTCTTCTCCAAGTGTGATATTACCCAGGATGTACTTACTCCTAGCTATTTTTTTTTGTTTGATTGTTTTCCTTCATTGATACTTCATTAAATATTGTATATGAATTTTATTATATAAACATAAGTAGTTACGGAAGTTTTAAAAAGCTTTTTTTTTTACATATATGCTATTTTGTGGTCTTCTTTTTCCTTAATTCATTATTTTCTTTTCTGGTATTTCTGATTGGAGTATTTGAAAATAATGCCTATCTGTGTGTTGCACATCAGTAGCCACATATTCATCCTTTTCTTTACTGGATCTAACAATCCAAATGGATGTTCCTTTTTTTTTATTAAAAAAAAAAAAAAAAA